TTGGAAACTTTTCGTGGCAGTAGAGGTAGAGCTATCATTCTTTCCCCTACTGGTTGACAATCTGCAGTTTTGTTTTGTTTTTTCTAAAAAGGCAAAATCGACTACTTTCCTGTTTCTTTGACTCTTTGCATGCTTTCGACTCCAAATGAGAAATCCTTGTCATATCTGTAAAGAATCCCAGTGGATTAAACTTAAAAACCTAATTGGAGAAATACAGCAGGTTGAGTTAGAAAAGCCAATTTCCCTTTATAGTCCAAGTGCTTTTGTATTCATGCTTTTATAAGGAGCATGTTTTTATATATTAACTGTGTACTTTTTAAGCAATAATAAATTATTTTAATGGAAATATTACAGTTCTTATGCTTCACATATTACTTGTGGGATAACAAACAGTAAACATGCGTTGGTTTTTTTGTTTTTGTTTTTTTGGGGGGGTTGTGTGTGTGTGCGCGTGTGCGTGTGTGTGTGCGCGTGTGTGTGTGTGCGTGCGCTGTTTTTTAACCTTTGTTAATGAGCCAGATATGGTCTCGGCCTCCACACTTTGTATTGAAGGAACAGAAGTACACAAAGGAATAAAGCCATGCCTGAAGAATGGGGTAAGGGGATGCCAGTAGGGTGAGAGAGTACACACATACCTGGAATCCAGGAAGTTGACAGGTCAGAGTAAACAGATAAAGAACACCTCAGAGAGCCCAGGACAGGGTATGGGGGCTGCCATTCGGCCTGAGGAAACCCGGGCAAGCTCCGATGTTGGATCAACTGTACCCACCTACTCTCCTCCACCACCTGCTTACCTCCTCCCACTCCCACATACACATACCCAGCAAGTACAGGCAGCTGGCACTGACCCTCAAGCAAAAATAAACTCGTCCCTGACTGCTCTTCTCTGCAGACATTAAACAATCCATATGGGTGAACCTAAGATTTCTAGTCATCAACTTGGTGTCTCCCAGTAAAGATCTGCTTCTGGCGATAAGGTAGCCTCAGCCTAAAAATGAGCCCCATTCGTCTCCCCCACCTCATGTCCAGAGCACCAAATCAGAATTCTCGCTGGGAATTGTGTTTGCATTTTTAATAAGCATATTTGTATGTGTTATTTGCATGCATTTTAAACAAATAAAAATAAATTACATATTTTAATGGAACTATTAGTTTTTTTGCTAGAAATACTACTTGTGCGATAACAGTAAATGTGTGGGAGATGCCACCCCGGTTGTGTGGACCTTCTTTTCCAAATATAACCGGACAAGTAGAGATCCCCAAGTTATCGGCAGAGCCAGCCGCTTGAGAGAGAGACCAAGACAGATGGATGTGGAAGGTTCTGGTGGAGGCGATGCGGTGGCTCAGTCAGTCAGAGTGTGCACTCTGAACATCAAGGTTGCCGGCTCGATGTCCACATGTGCCACTTAGAGCTATGCCCTCTTTAGGAAAAAAAAAATTCTGGTGGAAACAAAGGTAATCAGGGACTGGAAGAAAACTTCAAAGAGATTTAAGAAAGGTAATTTTAAAACCAGAAGAGGTTGATTTGAAAAAAAAGGGGTCAGAGAAGCGATTAGAGATTTAAAATATGACAGCTGAGGGCTGGCCGAGTGGCGCGCTGGTTAAGAGCTGGCTTGGGACGCCAGCTCTGAGCAGCAGGACCCCATTTGGATGTCACATGAAGGGCTAGTGACGCTGCGCCCTCTACAGCTAAGATGGTGAACAACAGCTCGACCTGGAGCTGGGCTGCCGTGAGTCACCTGCGACTATGTCGTAGGTGGCACTGGGGCTGGGCGGCAGCTGGCGTGAGCTTTTGTGAGTGGCTGTCCAATGGCCGGCGACTGACTGCCTCAGCCGGGAAGAGCACAATGATAACACCAACTTGGGCCAGTGAAGCGGCATCCTCCACAACTAGACTGAAGAACAAAAGGACAGCAACTTGTCTGTTCCCCTCCCCCAATTCCCCAATAAAATCTTTAAAAAGGAAATAAAATGAAATAGAAATTTAAATTTATCACAAATCATTAAGCAAAAATTCTTTTCTAAAAAAACAGGGTCGTCTATCTAAATACAGATGCTCCTTTTTGTGCCTATATACAGTGGTTTTTCATTTCTAGACATTTGACTTTGTTACAAAGTATTTCTTTATGGTCCAGTACTGTGCGTCTTCTACCCCTACCTGCGGGACAGTCTTCCAAGCCCAGGCCATGCTCCCCAGACAGCCCGTCAGGCCTTGCTAACAGGGCACATTTTCCCTCCAGGAAATCGCTCAGGAAAGGCAAGAGGAATTACCACTTAGGATATATGCTAAATTCTCCCATTCACTCACATTCTCACTTTTAGTCCCCACAATTACCTTTTCATAGATGAGAAAACTGAGATTCAGAAAGGATAAGTAACTTACTGTCACAGCTACAGGAAGAACCAGAATTCACATCAGGTCTGACTTCAAACCCATACTCTTTACATACAGAAATTCACCTCATTTTTACTGAGCACGCCTTAGGCCAAACTGTGGAAATACGATGCGCGGACACTGTCCTTAAGAAGCTTGTCGTCTGAACACCAGAGACCATCCAAGATGCGCTGGAACACCCACCCCTCAGCCCGCAGAGGGCAGGGCAGGCTCCAGAAACACGATGAGCCCCTTGCGGCCCCATGCCATTGCCTCCACCCCTCTCCTCTTCTGCCAGCTTGTGTAAAAACAAAGAAGTCCACCCTCTACCACTCCAGGAACCTGACCTTACCGCTCCATGTCCTGCTGTGTCCCAGAACTCACAGCCATTCCTGGAGCAGGTACAGGTGGCTATGGAACAAGCCCCTGGCCTCAGTCCAGCCACCACTGGTTCCTCCTGGTTCCCATACAGAACCTTCAGTGGTCTGGCAGAGGAGCCACAAAAGCCCTCTCCACAACAGCCAACATCACATCCTCCGTAACTGTGGAGAAGGCTCCTTCGCCTTAAACTTACATTCCCATAAGCAATCTATGGTTAGAATTAAATTCCAGAGGAGTGGGTGGGAATTCGACTGTGCTGGGCTGAAACCCGTCAGGCTTTCTACAGTGACCAGGCCTCAGGGGTTTGTTCACCACTAACGAGCTAATGTTTTTAAAAGCCTGTAAGGACATAATGGCTAAATACTGTCATTATTACTACATTACCTGTTTAAATGTAAATTAAGAGAGAGAAGGGGGAAAGAAAGCACATTACAGGTTTGGGACTCAGCAAGATGTAAGCAACATCTGAAGAACGTTTTAACTGAATTTGTTAAAGGATATTGAGTGAAATGTTGCTGCTGTAGGAAAATAACTCAAAAGAGAGAAGGAATGGAGTACTGGCTGGAAAAAAGTCAATATACACGGAGGCAAACAGATGTTGGAGGAAAGGAAAGGCCGCATGAAAAACACATGCTGGAAAAATGCACAATTTCTCTAAAAAGCACTATACAGCAGCAAAGCTAAAACGCCTAGACTCTGAAAGCAAAATTAAAGTCTAGAGTATGAAATCCCAAACAGGACTGTAACTCAGCTTAA